AACAATAATAATAATAATAATAATAACAATAATAATAATAATAATAATAACAACAACAACAACAATTCATTTCTATACACAATATTGGAATTAAATAACTTTTTTATTTTATCCTAAAATTGCTTCTTTTGTAATACATATTATAGTATAAAAATAGTACATTTTATTAAACTTTTTTTTTTTCAATTACAATTAGAATTTAATGTTTCAAATTAAAAATAGAAAGTAATCTGAACAAGTATAGTCGGCGCTGTTCTTTATTTTGTACTAAAGATACTTCATGATATATTAATAAAATTTTTCATAAGTTAAACGATGATAATTAATTGGAAGAACTTACGTAATTAAAAACAATGTTAAGTAAACTAGTTTGAAAGTCATTGGGGAGTTAATATATTTTCATCAGAAAAAAGAATTCGTGACTTGAGAATCAGCGGGTGCAGTTACCAAGCAAATTAATCTCGACTCCAATAGCTTTTATAACTGGATATAAGTACTTGGGAGTCCTCTAATGTGATTTTATTGGCTTACATACACTAAAAAAGTTTTGCGCGAATAAAATTGCTATAAATTTACTAACAAAAAAGTTTGTATTATGATCGTTTCATAAGTAAGCGAAAATATATAATAGATTTTCTATAGAGGCTAAATTTTCTATTCCTAACAAAACTTCAAGATTTCCCATTATTCGATTTGGAAGACTTTGTTTTGAAATTTTAAGAAATAATTTTATACTTCACTAGAGTCTGTATTATATTATTAAACTACTTTAAAATTTAAATATTAAATTTTTTTATTTTCTATTTTACTTTGAAAATTCATATTTAATATATATCATATATTTTGCGTTGAATATAATAATAATATAAAATTAAATATATTATGAGATTCGATTTTATTTAGCGAAGATAAGAAATAAAAATCAGATTATGAACATTTCTAGCACATTAATTGTATTATACATTCTAATGATTATATTACTTTGTTTATAGTGAACTTTGCATTATAAAATATTATATGTGATTATTTGTGTTGAAGAGAAACGAACCTCCCAAGATTTACTTGAATCTTCATTTACTTATAATTATACGATAGACTATTATATTTGCATAATAATTTTAAAACATAAGTAGTAACGAACCACATGACCAATTTACATTAGAGGTCATTAATTTGTATAAATTATTATATGTTGGCACAGTTGTTTATTGCGAGGAATGAGACTTCTTTCTCATTAATAGTTTCATTAATCATTCGTACAAATTTTCGAAAATTTCTTACATTTGCTTAAAGGTATAAAATAAAAATTCGTAAGATAAAAGTAATTTACGATTCTTATTTAATGAAGTTTAATATATTATTATATAGATTGGACTTAAGTGCAATATATGGTTTACTTGTTAATTGAAAGAATAAATAAGGAATAAAAAAAAAAATAAAATAATAATTATTACTTATTGAGTTGCCAAGTAAAGAAAATTTCATATAAATAGCATGAAATTATTCTTTCAAAAAGCAAAATTTAAATTACTAATGTAATCGTATGTAATGTACTGGTTTAATAAAATCAATAAATCAAATTTAATGGCTAAGAAATATAACATTTTTTAGTGAATTTTTAGTATGTAGTTTGTTATTATATTGAAAAGGGTTAAAATGTTCTGTTTTATTATAAAAGTAAAATAAGAATTTATTTAAATATCCACCCAACGAAGTTGTTCTGAAGTTCTAGTATGCTGTGGTACATCCGAATAGCGTTGATCGAAGTTAACTAATCAGATTGAAGAAAAATATTATTATTCTCTAATCAAGTTAGTCCATGATATACAATTGCTATTCGTATTAATATTATTTTGCAAGTAAAGAGTACAGCAATAAATTTTTTTATCTGTCATCATGTTCATTATGTACGTTGTAGTGCTTATTTTTTTTATTTAATTTGCCAAGAATTTTTAAATTACTAAGAAGAAGCTGTATTTGATTTTAAAAATTTTACTATTATTTTCGATAAAGGAAGTTATAATTTATTTATGCAATCTAATCCATTTCATGCTTATGTTATTGAATTCTTAAATGTATAGATAATCTATTAGATCATAAAAGTTTACATATCCGTTTTTCACCGATCACTGATAACTCATTCTATCGTTTTAGAAATTATAAATAATACTAATTAAATATAACAATATTGTACTGTTTATTTTATTTCAAACGATTACGGTATTTAGCATATACCACTTATTAGAAGCCTGAACAAGTAATTTGTAAGAAGTCACATTGTTACATACTTGAATTAAATATATTTATTCCATAACTTCTTAAAAATCAATGCCATATTAATCGTAAAGAGAAAACTTTAATTTTCATAAAGAATGTATCAAAAGCTTTGATTGAATTGAAAATATTTTTCTGATTATAAATATTACTCGTCTCCGTTTTATTAAATTAATTGAGAAATAAGATAATTACAACAAATCAGAAAATCTAAATCTATTTATTACATAGAAAAATATTGAAGATATTCTATAAAATTTGTATTAAATATAGAGTTATATTATATTGACAGGATGATGATATTTTTGAGACAACGAATGTTAAAAAGCATGATGAGTTATTGTTCATGTAACTTTTGTATATTGCATTTGTTATGATGAACAATAGTTATGATTCCTTTGTTTTGCATTTCATAACGCTTTATACAATTGGAGCTTTGTACATAGAGGAGCGTGTAGTATTTAAAGTTGCGCTTGAAAAACTACGTTTGCATAACTTGATAAAGAGGCAGTCTCAAATGGATCGTAAAGTTTGTCCAGCTTTGAACATTTTCTTACAATATTTTGCGAATTGTTCATGGATATTTCTGATGTTGCTGAGTCACTTAGGTATGGCATGAATTCTTGGCACGTAGACGATGTTGGTGATCTTTCCGATCTTACGCGATGCCTGTGGTTGGGCGTTGACTCGGAGTGTTTGTTACATTTAATTGTTCATTTAACGGTTTATTGTTTTTCCTTTTCTTGTTTCTCGCTAAAATTGACCAGAATGCAAGGATCTACGAATAGCAGGAGTCGTACCAGCTATTTTCCATCTACGCGGATACGTGATTGTTGAAAAATGATTCTGTCTCATTGCAAGCATACACGATGCAAAAGCTGCGTCTGACACTTACTTTTAAATCAAGGATTTTCATCCATTATCCTTATTGATTTGAGAATTGATAACTGTGCGCTGTATAATACATGTCCCTCGGTATTTCAAATCTAAAGTATTAAAGCAACAATGTGACTTCGTTGCACGTTGCACCGCGAGTAATAAGTTTTACAGAAATATTTCTAAAATATTTATGTAAAATATGTAAAGAAATATCGAAGCACATTTACTATATTAAGAACCGTGTAAACATTTGCTATATAAAGAAATATTTAAGTATATTGCGAAACTACACATAAATTATACGATTGTTAATTTGAAATGTAAAGAAAGTTTTATTATTTCATGTAATATAGATAGGACTCGTGATAAGTAGATTTATAGAAAAATCTAATGTGAACGATATAGTAAATTAAGAAAGAAAAGTCTTCAAAGAATCTATATTATCATACTCTAGAATTCTGTCAATAAAATATTTTATTTAGACTATGTAATTAGGCAGCTGTATGTAACAAATCGATTTTTCATTTTCGAATAATCTTATCTGACGTATTGTTAAATGCAATTGGAAAAAAATTACATAATTATAATGATCAAATTCTTTTATGGCTCAGTAGAAGAAATATTATGAATGAATATCGATTTGTAAGAATAAGAAAATTTTTCATTATAAGTAGTTTTGTAAAAAATTCTGAACTATTGAAGTCTTCATGAATTGATTAAATATTCGGAATTTAAAGTTCTTCAAAATTTACAGTCTCGTAGTGGATTAAAATAATTACGCTAGTAAAACTTTTTATCTATTTTTCATCATATAATCCGTTCACACTTTGAATTACCTAAACATTTTTATAAGTTAAGCCGCTTTCATGCATATTTTCATTTTAGATTAAATATTTTAAAATATTTCTAAGACATCAAAATTAACATAAAAGAATGACATAATTAATAATAAAATTTTTAAATTCTAAAAATCAAATAAAACCAAAAATCATTAATTTAAAATAGAAACGATATTTTTGAAAAATATTAATACGGATAGTAGTAATGGAATTGTAATGTGTAATATGTATCATTTTATTTGAAATTATACGAATTTTCATTGAAAAAAATATTTATATTGTATCTTAAGTATAATCTCCTAGTATACATAAATAGTATATTTATTTTTAAAATAGAAAATGAAGTTACTTTAGTCAATATAAGTAGAGCAGTTGCGTATAGTCAGGCGGCTTTATCTTCCTTTTTACGAGTTCATTATCATCTTTTTTTTACATATTTTAAAAATATATAGGAAAAATTTTTGTAAAAAAAATATGCTGTAATTACATAAAGATTTAAATTAGTTGAGTAATGATCGATTGATGTTTAATATTAACTATTAAATTTAGAAATTTTATTGAGTACCATCTGTATAATAGAGGAAAACAATAAACGTAAACTGATTTTATTATAATGGAAACGATACTGAATTCCAAAGGGAAGGGTTAATTTTAATCTAAATGGATGTACTTGATTGAAATATCCGAATTTCGGTGCAACCTTATGATTAAGTTTAGAAACTGTAGATTAATTTATTTTAGTACCTTACTTCGCTTTGTATTTTATACGGATCAAAATAATATAGTAATATAATTATAATTAAAATTAGAATAGTTTCAACTAATTTTAAAACAAGTGAATAGGTATTTTAATTAAATAAAATTATCACTTCGTTAATAAAATTAATTAAATGTGATACATTAAACAATAAAATTATAAATAGGATTAAGCATAAGTGTTATTATTATGATAGGTTTTACATTTAATAAATGGATAGATTTCAAATATTATTTTTTCTGAATTTTTAGAAATTCAGTGACGAGATTGTTTCGGAGAATACACAATGGATGACTCGGAGTTAGCTTCAGAGGTAAGTTTAATTACTTTTATTATTCTCACAAGTATATTTAATCATTTTATATAATGAGTGTGGGCTTATTTTTTAAATAAGCTAACAAGTTTTTTTTTTTTTTTTTTTTTTGTATTCTGATGTGATTATTCAGTAATTAATTTTTAAAACATATAATCAAATATGATATATAAAATAGATAAAAAAAAAACATGTTTTGTTAATTTAAATTTCAGAAAAATTTCATATGGTCCCTCGGGGGGTTAATGTATATTTAGTAAATTTTATTGTTATTGTTGAAACAATTAGAAATTTCATGAGTCTCTTATATTTAGCAATTCGATTATGTGCAAATGTGGCAAAGGGTCAATTTCTTCATATGTTTATTAATTTTATGTATTGAAAATCCTTATTTAAGAATATTATTAAGATTTTTTTTTTTTTAATTTTTTTTTTATGTATTTATAATGCTATTAATTTTATATAGTTCACAAACTTCTTAATGGACAAATTAGAAACAAAAGATTAGTCAACCTTATCATTCGGAAGAATTAAGTCCTTGACCGATTCTCATGTCTTTTAGTTTATTTTTCTTTTTTGTTTTTTGTTTTTGTTTTTTTTTTTTTTATAATTGAAGTTATTTATATATTTCAATATAAGAGAAATTTATTATTCTATTTTGTGTTATTTTCTAGAGTAGTAATTTTTTCATTTTGACATAAAGATGTTATTAACGAAAGATGTAGAGGGTTTCATACAATAAAAGTTCTAAAATGATTCAAATGAGGAATAGAATTATTTATTATTTCAGAATTATTCTTTTTTTTAAGAATTTTTTGAGATTGGATATCGATCTTGAGTATGCAATAATCATATCAAACATAGTACAAAGTATTATATCAATATGATATTATTTAAGATTTATTTGGATATAATTAAATAAGTCGATAGAAACTTTATAAACATGTGTAATAAAAAGGAAGAATTATTTATTAAGAAAATCATTACAATATGTACAAAACCGAGTAATATTTCGTGGACAGTAATGAATTGATATGTACGAGATGGTTATCGAAATAGCGGAGATGATAACTGATAACAGGAAAACAGTTCAGCATTTCATGTTGAGATAAATTATTTTGAGAAATTTTAGTTTACTAGATGATTTTTCAATTAAATAATGTAATTATGATTGAAATCTGTCAATCAGAATGTTCCTTAAATCAATAATTTTAGCCCGAGTAACGAAACTTATAAACAATTAGTATTGATAATTAATACAAATAATAGATGAATCAGTAAAATAAAAATTCATCAGATCTTATTATTTTTTCGTTGTGAAAAGTATGAAGGGCTTAAATTCTCTTATATTTATTCATACTCTACACACTTATTCCAAATTTCCAAACATATTCATTTTTAATCTTTCTTTACCAGACGCATATATATATATATATATGATTGCGCACATACATACACAGGCTTTCTTTCTTTTAATATTCTCTTTACTATGAACTAATTCGAACTACATAAACACTACCGACTGACAAGATGTTATTTTTGAGTAGCTTTCGATGTAAGTATTTTCGTTCTCATCTTTGTATCTTTTTGTGTTTCTTTAATCGATATGTATGGACCATTTTATAATTTTTCCTTCTAATTCTTTAATATCATTTTCTATATATATTAAAATTTTCACTTTTTTTTTTTTTAAGAATAAGATGTATGGATATATATATATATATATATATTTTTTATTTTATTGATTTATATCTACGAATGCCCACGTGCCGTGATCTTTGAAGAAATCATACATTTGTTCATTTTTATCAAAATATTCTAATCTACCATTATCTTTAAAAAGAGACGAAGAATACTCTTAATAAAAGAAAAGACTTAGCAGTCGATGTAAGATGATTATTTCATTGAACTACTGTCTCCCTTACTTTTAAAACAATCCTTATGTTATTTATATTTCTTTTTCATTAAAATTATATAATTAAACATACATATAATTAAATATATAATTAATTGGATAAAATATTTTAAATGAGATTTTTAATTGATATCTTACAAGGTATTATGATAGTTACTCGAGTTAAGGGTTAAAAAAAAAATTTTTTTTTTTTATCGAGCATGTTTATATTCGCACATTCTTTATTTACATATTGAAGATATAAATTTACATTTTAATACGTATACTTTACTTAATATTTTGGATAGTATCCAACTAATGATAATATACATAAATATTTAAAAGGACGTGTTACATTAAACATTGTCCTATATACGATAATTATTAAAAAAATGATATATATATATATATATATATATATATATAAGAATTTTTAGCTTATTAAAATCTGCAAGCGATTAAAATATCAAATTATAATTTCATAAGTGATTGGAGAAAATTGTAGCGAAATAAGCTATTAAGGTGTACCTTTATGCTTTTATAGGTAAACGCTTTCTTTTAAAAGGTTGGATTTCAGAGAATCGATACCAACTGAAATCTCATTCGAAAAGAAGAATCTCTCCACACGAAATGAAAGCAACGTGAAAAAGTGCTTTCTCTTTGCACTGCGTTTTCAAAAGTTTTTACAGGCTCAAGAGAGCCGTGATTGTTCATGCGCTTTGCGTGTAATCGAATGAATGGGGCGGCGGCGCAGGAGTCACAAGGGGTGTGACATTTATGCATTGCATCACGGACGTTTTAAAAGCCAGTTATATTCACCATTTTTCAGCTCAACTCTGCATTGTAGCGTCGGTTTTCAAAGCATTGAATTAAAAAATATTAGAAGAGGAGCGTATTCGTTTACTATAGAGAAAAAATATGCCGTAAAAGGTTATGTAAAAATGTTTATTAACACCATTTTTTCAATAGCCAATAAAAAAAGTTTAGTTATGCCGAAAATATCGTGTGAAATATTAACTATTCATTGCTTATATCGATACCGAGCCCTTTATTTTTACTCTTGGCCAAAAATATTATAAAATACCTCCATAATGTCTTAATAAATCTTTTATAAATATTATTATAACTTATCATACAATTGTGGATTAATTCCTTATCAAATAAATGAGATTTCAATATTGTAGCACTTAACAGATATCGTTTGATTGTTTATATTGAGTTTAAATGCTGTTTAGTCGCAAGCTTGTAAATACATAATTTTTATTGCTGCCGTTTTAGCATTGAATTAAATGTAATTAATTGATTCACCATTTAATATCCGATAACAACATCAAAAAAAAAAAAAAAAATTACTTTTGGCTATTAAAAAATATGAATAATTTTAAATTTAAAAAATTCTAGAACGTACTTTTGTTATTTTCTTCTTTAATATTTAATTATTGTGCGTTTGTTCTTCCTATTAAAAACATATTTTTTAAAATATACAACAATTATTGCAGAAAATTTCCGGAACCAAATAACGACTGATTTAATTGAGTATAGAATTAATTTTATGAATGGATGAAATTTTAGAACTTTTAAAAATTTTACTCTGATCTGATAATTAAATAATATCTCTTTAACTTAATATATATTATCTATGTTTTTTGTATGATGTGTACATACGAATAACAAGACAATAAGATAATAAAGAAGGTGAATGTTGATCCATTAATATACTTGAGTATAAAAGGGTTATGCGATAGTCTCGGCTTTCTTTTCATTCTTTCTATCTTCGTAATTCGAGTTTCTGGCTTCTTTTCTGCTTTCATGGTAATCATAGCCGAAAGATTTGAGATGGATACAAAAATTCATCATCCGTATCATACTTTCGACACTACAATTTTTCAGACTTCATTTTCTGGAATTTAAGGAGGAAAAGATTTCTCAAGTTCACTCTTAAAGATCTTTTATACAACTAGTACACTTACATCCATTCATACATAACGTTACGTCAAACGCTAAGTTTTTTTTTGTTTTTTTTTTCTTTTGAAAAATCACCACTTTTTATATTGTAATGAAAATCAAAAGTTAGCAGCATCTGTTGTGTTTTTTATGATCTAAGCCGTTAATATTTTGTATATTATGAATAAAAATATGCAAGTCATTCGAAGGTGGCAATTTCTTCGTCAGTTTTTAAATTTTTTACTCATTTTACTTGGACCAATGATAGCCGTGAAAAGAGTATGCGATTATTATTCATCATTTTTTACATACATTATTGACGTGTGCTGCATAATATTTATTTCACGGGTATAGTTATCATATCATTATCATATCGTAAGCTACCAAGACCTTTTCTGTATATAGTTTTTTGTAATTCTTAAAATAAATAATTTTTCATTATCATTATTATCTATAAATTTATAATGTTTATTTTTTATGAATCGTATAAATTTAAGGTTTCTAAATCCATTGTACAATTCAGAAATTGTTAAATTGAAAAATAAACTTTAAATTTTTTATTTACAAAAATTATTGTTTATATTTCATTAATAGTGGCCATAGTATCATTCAAAGCTCTATTTTAGCTTTATTTTTCAATTTACTCTAGACATCATCATCGATTAAGTTTAGAACGCGGATATCTTTAAAATTGTCTATAAAAATTCATTAATATATATATATATATATATATATATATATATATATATATATTAAAGAAAAATAAATTTCACTGGATAATAATCAAGTTACTTACGAGTACACTCAAAATATCATATATCTAATATATATATATATATATATATATATATATATATATAAAGCTTAATAACAATTGGAAAGTTAAGCTATTTTACAAACAGCATAGTTACTCTCGCATTATCAAACTTGCAGTTGATTATCTCTAAAATTCAGGTTTACGCTTCACGAAGAAAATTACCCTCCTTTATCCATGAGAGTGTGACTAATGTAGTTCATAAATGAACTTCTTAGTGTTTGTTATTAAGTGTATATAGTGTAGTGATCAAATCAACACTATTAATGGATGAGCGCGCCCTTCCTATTCACGTGTGCCGGTAGAAAAATGGGTGGTAAACGTGACTCACGAAGTGTATATCTACAA